ACGGCAAGAAAATTCACAAACTGCAAAAAAGAACAGAACTACATTAGGAAAAAGACATATTTACAAAGAGAAAAGATTTTACAGACTGTTGTCTTCTAAGGAAAGTACTAACCTTTCAAACTGTCCGCACACGGCAACCAGTGCACTCATGGTATGGGCAATCCTTGCCGAATGGGCCCACTGTTCTGCTTTGTGAGACTTAGTGACGTGCTCACGACGAGTGCCTCCTGGTACTCCGGGAAACTGAAACTCTGTCGAACTCCGAAAATAAAAAAAGAAGCAAACCACAAGAAGGGAAAAACGTAAGTTGCAGAATTTCCACTAATCAAAAGTCGCAAAATCTGACTTACCCTATCGGCCATGAGTTTAGTCAGCAATTTCGCTTTTGCTGCTAGACGTGGAAATAGCACATTTAGGATCACAGCATCATTATCACCTTAACACATCCATCTATGATAAAATGAAGGATGAATAACAATTTACCTCCAGCCTTTGTGAAATTATCTGGAAGGAATTGTCGCAGGTAACCCATTTGTTTTCTAGCATATTCAACCTCAACTGCGGAGACTTGTCGCTCTACTGACTGTAAGCAGATGGTCAAGCAAAAAATAAGGTTAAATCTATCCGATTTGATTTGACCCACCTCAGCAAAGGTTCGGTTCACGTTAACTTGCATTTGGCTGACCATGCTAGCAATGCTGTTTTCTTCGGATTTTTGACCTGTGAGTTCCTCTTGATACCTCAGCACCTTGAACAAAAACTTGAGATGGTAATAGCCCATAGGAAATAAATGAATCAACCTGGTCTTTCAAATCCTGTATCTCTTCATTCTGTTCTCCAACCTTCTTTCGGAATTTCATGATTGTTGAGATCAACTCTTCACGATGTATGTCTTCTTGTTTCATTCGTTGTTGGAGCTAAAAGCCTATGTTAGGTAAAATATGGAACGAGAAACTAATCCTTACAAAACCTCATTAATTTTCACGTGTAGGCCTTCAATCTCTCCAAGCAGAGCCTTCTCAACAAGTTTTTGCTCTTCCATCATCTGATCATCCATATCTCGTAGTGCTTCGAGCTCATCTCGGTCGCTTTCGAGTTGTCTGAAAATTTTCAGTTGACTTTTTGCAAACTTAGAGTGGAAATCGAGTAAAATTCACAACTCAAGATTTCAGATTAGGGCTCGGCACAGCTGGCACCGGGTCAAGGTATAGATCGTTTTTTGAACAAAAAGGGAGAGGGATATTTTTGGTGGCCGAAAAGATACAAAAATGCAAAGTTTTTTAGCCGACATTTCGTTTTTTAGGGGTTTTTAACGTTTAGGTTTTAAGGTAAAAACGGACTTCGTACGAAATTTTCAAGATCAAAGGGGACTTCATTTTCAAATTTCCCTGGTGTCAGCTCCTGCCGGCCCTGTTTCAAATTATCCGAAGAACTAGGTGCAATAGTTTGAAGCCCTTTACCTGATCTGATTTTCCATTTCCATGTTCTTATTAGCCAGGTTCATGACCATCTCCTCTGCTCCCATTGCCGCTTCGATCTTAATGCATATTGATTAGTTTGATGTATGAAAATTCTGCCTCCAACTCAGTAGTTGGTAATAACCAAGATATGTACATGCACAGCGGGTATTCGCGATTTCTTGCATGTCAAGTTAGGAGATTAGAGAAAAAATAGCTAATGTTTTGGTACCATTGCGAAAATGAGAACTCAAAATCAACGCCGGAAGCAGCAGCTTTTACATAAATGTGTAATCATACAACAGGTGAAACAAGACCGCACAAGACCTAGCCCACCTCCTCCCATGCATGTAGTTCTACTATCTGCAATGAAAGCTATAACAACCATTAACTTCGAATCATTACATCAATCCTAGCAAGCTAAAATTACTCCACACGCTCAAAAACAAACATTCAACGAAAGATGATGATCGCACAGTAACAAGAAGCTATCTGCCCAAAACACGCGAGTTCAAGCCACTCCTCACTCAAGCTTTCAAGCAAAATATCCACTGTACTTAGAAGTGAACCACTCTATACAAGTACTTGGACAAAAGCAACCTTGTCCTACCTGCTCTTGGTAGTCGTGAATGCGCATATCGGCGTCATCGGCAGTTTTCTTCGCAATTTCTGCTGCTCTCAGCAACTCGATGTTCTCGGTTCTTAACACTTCTGCTTCCCTCACTGCCTCAGTTTTTTCTGCTTGAGCTGCGGCATTTATATCGCGAAGTCTGAAACGAACGCCTCAGTCTCGCGAATTTTCAAATGGAGAGAAAAAGAAAACTGAGAAACCATTATAAAGCACTGATGGTAAGCACTACGGCGTAAGAATCTCATTCTGACAATAGAAAATTCTTTTTTCATAACTACGAGCCAAAAACTGGAAAATGTGAGTTCCTCCCACTCAGAAAAAA